TTCCATAGTCTCAACCTCATTCTCTCAACTTCATTCATGCAAGATGTTATGATTAGGTTTTTTAAAAAGTGACCAATGTCAAGAACTGTGAATGATCTGACATTTTACCCTACTTGCAAACAAACAAGTTAACCTGTCACAGTTTTATGGCAGAAGGTATGAGACTCCTGGTCCAGAGACAAAGACTTTACCACTTGTATCACACAGGCACATAAGCTTTATGTTCATATTAGTTCCCTTTGCCTCTCCCCAAGTCATGTGGGAGTGACACACAGGTGGGTACAAGTGGGTCCTGCACATGCTATGTATTTGCATCACATCTGAGGAACCTCAAGTTTAGAAAACTTCGGTCTTTTATAAGAGGCTGCAAACAAGCTGCCCAAAGTTTTCCCCAGAGGAAACATTGGCTTTACTATACTGGACATCATATAATCCTACCCTCTGCTCTATCTCCATCCTTTTTTTCAAGGCTGTTCACTATTTAAACATTCTTGAAAAGATAGTTCAAACCAAAGGACTTTTGGTGTATCAACTCAGAAGACATTCAGAAATATGAAAGATCCATGGAGAATTGGCTCTCAGCAGTCAAAAGCTAGAGACATCAAGGAGACCTGACAAGTATATGGTAGGTGGTAGAGTTTTCATTAAGAAAAATAAAAAGGTAGAAAGATTCCTCTTCCTTCTGATAGACACCTTCCTTTTCTTTGGTCTTCTCTCTCTATCTCCGTCTTTCCTTAAAAATGATCATTATAGCCTTGGCCGGTTTGGCTCAGCGGTTAAAATGTCGGCCTGAGGTCCAGAGAGACCCGGGTTCAGTTCCTGCTAAGGGCACGTACCTCGGTTGCAGTTTGTCCCTGGCCCTGGTTGGGTCGTGTGGGTGACAGCCACTTGACGTGTCCCTTTCATGTCAATGTTTCTCTCTGTCTCTCTCTCTCTCTCTCTCCCCCTCCCCCCCTCCCTCCCTCCCCCTCTCACTCTATCTGAACAAAAAAGGAAAAAAAATGTTCTTGGGTGAGGATAAAAAGAAAAAAAAACGATCATTATGTTGTTGTTCTTTCTTTCCATGTGGTTAATATATTCATATAACCTTCTGCTTTAGAGGCAACCCAACCTTTCAAAGGCTTTTGAATTCCAATGTGAGGCTCAAAATAAAAGATATATGGATTGACCAGCTTATCCTTCTCTGCTTCTTTAACCATTGAGGAAAAGGGCTTTCTTTTCTATGAGCTCATCATTCCATATATCCTATCACTTTCACAGTAGTAAGACTAAGACTGTCAGGATTCCCATAGGGGTTCAAATGAAAAAGAAACCAACCAAGGAAGGTATTGAGCTGCCTCTGGTCTATAAGTTATGTTAAAGTGTTAGCCAAGCCTTGGAGCTTACCAATGGTCCAGAATGGGAAACCACGTAGAGATTGAGACTGATGCTCTACCCAGTAATAAAGTAGCATTTTCCTGGAGTGACCTCCGTGCTTATAGAGATCTGAGCTAACAGCTAGTGATTGGATAGAGGATTCAGACCCTTAATGACACTGTGACCAAAGCCTTCGTGTTACCCGACTCCAACACCACACCTGTATATCTAAACCCAGTATTTGTCAACCTGCCTAGCTCCAATAAAGTAGGAGCTTTTAAAAGGTAGCAAATACATGTTACTCATCTTAGCATCACCAGTGCCTAACACTTATTTCCCATGTAACAAACATTACCAATTGAGGGAGAACTTGCTGCATTTTGTTCCTGCACTAATCTTACTTAAACATATCACTTCCACATCAGAAACCTCTAGGAGCCTCCTATCTGCCATTGTACCAATCTAAAATCCACTTCCTAATTTCTGTGGAAGATATATAAGTTGATTTATTTTTTCAAAACGTTCTTTTAAGAATTGATTGCTGAATCTTATTCATTTCTCTCAGACAGAAATAGAACTCGATTTAGGGCAACTAAATGGTGAGTGTGGCTGCTGAGGTTTGCGTCATATTCTAACACATCAATGGTGCTCTCTCTTATTGCCTTTGCTTCCACAAAGGCCAGTATGAACTTTAGATGCCCTTAGTTTGTGTCATTGTATATTCTTTAGTTACAGGCCGTCTCACATAGGACAGGTCCCCATTACATAGTTCCTCGTAGTTTCCGTGTTTACACGGTTGTGCAATAAAGCAAGTTACATGACAAAATGACTATTCACTAATGAATTGATCACTTATAAATATAATTTCCAAAGGGTAGACCTCAAATCCTTAAAAATGACTATTTCTGAGAAGAAGTGAACAGGAATAGAAAGAAAATGGTTATTAAAAGGCCTTCACCTTTATCTGTAATCATGTTTTGAAAGAACAATGTATTTATATTGAGGTAGATTGTTTCCAAAGATGGCTAGAACCATCTCTCCCATTATGATTACCCTTTATCGTGGGACTCGGCTGCTCCTCCTATAGAGGTGGGGTCCATTTCCTGTCCCCTTGAATTTGAGCTTGGGGACCTGCTTGGACCAACTGAATGTGGTGAAATGACAAGTGGCGAGTTCCAGACTTATAAAATCTTGTAGCTTTTTCTCTCTGGTGTCACTGAGGCTGAAAGACCTAGGAGAGAGAAATCCCACATCCTAGTTGTCCCAGCTAAAGAGCCAGTCATATGATTAAGACCATCTTGGCTTCTATTACAGCTGAGTGAGCATGCCTGGCCAAGATGACCCATTCCTGCTGAGCCCTGCTTAGTCAATCACACAATCATGAGTAAATAAAACTCAGGATTGCTGTTCTCAGCCTTGAAATTTCAGGCTGGTTTGTTACACAGCAATAGATGACTATTATATTCTACTTGTGTTATGTAAAGCTAATTTTAAAAAATAAATAGGTTCACCCTGGCCAGTTTGGCTCACTGGTTAGAGTGTAGGCTCTTGAACCAAAGGGTCCCAGGTTCCATTCCCTGTCAAGGGCATGTACCTGGGTTGGGCTGCATGCGGGAGGTAACCAATAGATGTGGTCTCTCTTACATGGATGTTTCTCTCTCTTTCTCTCTCCCCCTTCCCTTCCTTCTTTCCACTGTCTCTAAAAATCAATGGAAAAATATCCTCAAAATGAGAAATAAAAAATAAAAATAAATAGGATCACTTGCAAATCTTTCTTCCTGTTTAACAATTAGTCTCTCTCTTTCCTACCTGAATGCCATGTCTTTAAGGTCTCTATTTATGTAACAGATTATACAATATTCAACAATGCAATGTGAAATCAGTGCAAATCAATGCGAAATCAGGGCAAAGTGATTATAATGTAAAATTGCAAATCTTTCAAAATATGTAAGAAATCATGAAGTTGATGAAGGTAACGTTACAGAAACCCTTGAATCATGGGTAACTCCTCTGGCAAACGAGAATCTGCAGCTGGAACAGTTAACATTTAAAGAAGAAAAAATCCACACAGATGATGGCACAATAACTGTCTCAAAAGGGAATAATTTGAATGTCAAAATTTAAGAGAGGCTCTTGGGAAACTGATGAAGCCTTCAAATATTTTTGCAATAATGACCCTCTTTATGACTTACCCACAAAAATCAAATGTAAAAGGATATTGTATCTTGATACCATGTAATTTTGTTAGAAAATTATGCTTCTCAAAATCAGCACTTGATTCATCCTTTGTTCTAACATTTAACACATCATTGACCAACTAAAATTTGTTCAATGTAAGGTAAACTAATTTTAATAATTTTCTTACATACTTTTTAAGTTCCAACCAAATGTTTTTACTTTTTTTGTTCCTATTTCTACAAGATTCACTTTGAGTTTTGGGGGTACCAATTATCTGAGGAAATCATCTCCCAAACTAGCAAGTATACTCACTGAGGGCAGGATCTGAGATCATGCAGTATTAATATCTTCTGAATAGTTCATCAATCATAGGACTGAACAGACAGTGGAAACTCATAAATCTGATGAATGTGACCACAAATGACTCACTGATTGATTGGCTTACACGTAGATTTTGCCATTGAAGAATGGCACTTCTCCATTGTCAATCCTTGATCCAATGTGAGCTGGCATTTGTGCTTCTCAAAATTGTTCATAGAAGGCCTATTACAAATTTCCTGCTGAAAGCACTTTCGAAGGCTGACTACATTTAAAACCAATTCAAGCATGTAAAGTCATTTTAGGAAATAAGCCCCACATCCCAAGGGCTTGGCTGAGAGGGCCACGTCTGAGAACAGGTGTGCCACTTCACTGAACAGGAATTTGGAAATGTCAAACATTAGGAGCACTTTAGAAACTCCAACTCAACCTGCCTGACAGTCACACTTCTGGACACGTGTCGATAAATGGCTTGCAGAGATGGGCATTTGAGAAAATCTCTCAGCAGGGATTAAAAATTAGTTAAAACAAATGAGCATGGTAGGTTCTTAAAGAGACCAGGCTTTATTTACTGGGGGAGAGGGAGGGATTCTTCTTTCAATTTTACTTCTCCATAGAAGCTCTATATTTAAAACTAAAATGGTCATTCAAAAATATTCTATTACATGATAACAGTCCAAAACAACATCACATGTTTTAACATCCTTGAAGTTCAGCCTCTTTTGACTTATCTTACATCCCCAACTACAAAAAGAACTTACTAAGAATTGTTTTCTTTGTCATTATCAGGGTTACTTCCATTCCTTCCTAAATTAAAAACTAACAACACACACGTGGTTGCAAGTACCCTTTAAACGTGGCCCCTCTCAGGACACCAGGCATTCTACAGTCTGTTCTAGGGCAAATACAAACAATACTTTCCGTTAGAATAACTTGTATTCAGGAAAAGAAAAAAAAAAAAAAAAAAAACAGATAGACTCTGTTGCATCTGTAGCATAGCAGCCAGAGAAAAGTTTACTAGCTTTAGCCAATTGGAGACTGTGGAACTGGGCCAAGTTAGCATGTTTTTCTCCGCCCCTAGATGAAGTCATGATTGAAATATGGCATTGAACTTATTTTTAAAAGGGAAGAGGAGTAGGAAAGGAAAACTAAACCTGCAGGAAAGTGCCCTGGGTCGAGGAGAACTCAGTGAGGAAGTGTGTGCATACTTCTGCACCCGGAGTGGTTCTCAGTTCTGTAACCTTCGCCTCCCACTGGGTGGAGTAGGGCTTTTAAGAGCAGCTGGAATGCAGTTCCCCAGATCAGTGTAGCCAGTTGTTGCCTGTCTGAACCTCTGCCTGTCCTGGAGAGCGGTGCTCTGAGCTGAAGCCAGCCGCCTTGCTCTGCACCCCTCACCAACGTCCTTCTCACGGGAGCAAGAAGGAACATTTCCACCTGCCCAACCATGGGGGAGGATGCTGCACAAGCTGAAAAGTTCCAGCACCCGGGTTCTGACCTCCGGCAGGAGAAGCCAGCCAGCCCCAGCCCGGTGCCCTCTTCCACGCCGAGCCCCAGCCTGAACCTTGGGAGCACAGATGAAGCTATCCGCGACAACTCGCAGGTGAATGCCGTCACGGTGCTCACGCTCCTGGACAAGCTGGTGAAGATGATGGATACCGTGCAGGAGAATCAGCACAAGATGGAGCAGCGGCAGATCAGCCTGGAGGGTTCCGTGAAGGGCATCCAGAACGACCTCACCAAGCTCTCCAAGTACCAGGCCTCCACCAGCAACACTGTAAGCAAGCTGCTGGAGAAGTCCCGCAAGGTCAGCGCTCACACGCGCGCGGTCAAGGAGCGCTTGGAGAGGCAGTGCGCGCAGGTGAAGCGGCTGGAGAGCAACCATGCCCAGCTCCTCAGACGCAACCATTTCAAAGTGCTCATTTTCCAGGTCAGTGCCCCCTACTCCTCCTCCCACCCAGCTGGGACTCCTCAATATTCATGATCTCAGTCGGCCCGGCTCTCACAACCATTTGTACATCTGTCCTGCCTGTCAGGGATCAAACATAACGGGTGTTGTCCGGGTGTACCTTCAGTAAGCGAATGTAAAATCGGCACACGGGTGGGAATTTCCCAGGTCACTGTAGCCTAAACTCAAGGCTAATGCCCCAGGAGTTAGTAGGGTAGGGTCACTTATCAGGAAACACCTGGATGTACTCCATACAGGTTGGGAAGGTGAGCAGATGCACGACACCCTGGTTCAAATGCATTTGTCTCTGTGCATTATGAATGTGGGACTCTGACTGCAGCTGTTAGCTGGACAGGGCAAATTGATTCAGTGGCTGTTTTTATTAACTCGTTGTGCAAATGAGGTAATTATGTGAGGTTTTTGTTTGTTTGTTTTTTGTTTTGTTTTGTTTTGTAATCAAAGGGTTCAACTCATACCTGTTTAAAGTATCCCTTTGTCCAAAGGCTACCAATGTTTGAGGGACTAACCAAGTATTGAAGACTGATTCTATTAGAGTTGAACAAGCCTCTTCTTTTTAAGACTCTTTTGGCCCAAGCAATCTTGCTGAGTACTTTTCTAGCAAATGATGCACTAAAAATATAGAGCATAATCTTTACAAACACACTATGCCTCTCATTGCTCAGAGAGACTACAACTGCAAAGCAAAATAAAAGCAGTGTTATCAGTTACATTTATAAAGTCTAGTCCTGAATTCGTACTTCAAATGGTTGCCTTGAATAAAAAGGCCACTTAATTTTTTTTAATGCATCAATGATGCAATTAATGTAGCAAGAGGCTATCTGGGGACAGGGAGATTGCGTGGGGCTGTTGTTCCGCCAAGTGGTGGGCATTTGTGAATCCAAGGGCAGCCCTGCCTAATGCTGGAAGCCCTTCCGCCCAGTGGAACCCGGCCAGCACAGAGCCGAGGAAGCAACTGCCATCCCTCCCTGCCCCAGGGCTGTCTTGTTGTGACCAAGTGAATAGGAGAGGATTTCAAAGCCATGGAGAGAAGAGGCTATAACCAACTGTTTGACTGTGAAAGGCACACAAGAAGAGCCTTCATCCCCCAAGAGAGATTCAGAATTTGGGATTTAAACCAAGGGAGCCTTCTTTTTCTAAATGAATCCACTCTGCGAGATTTGAACCTAAGCCTCCTTCCCCACCCCACCCTCCCACCCCCAACTCCCCCACCCCGTAAAAGGAAAGACTCATCTGGCTGCTTTTTTGTCCTCCGCAAATTGCACTTGATGTTGTAAAGCTCCAGGCAGCTGGTGTCCTCCTATATCTTGCATGCTTTTTGTAGCGGGAAATTTTTTAGCTTTTAATGCAAATGGAATAGCTTTTCATGCACCAGATGAAGTGAAGAGCTACGGTAACTGTGCCTTTTTTAAACCATATAAGATCCTTACTTTATTAGCCTAAAACATATTAGAAATCTCAGCTCTCGAGGCATTTCTAAATTAAATACTGATCTCCAAACAAAACTAAACATGTACAGACCTGTTTAACTCTGTCATCAAAGGTAATTTCCCTTCTTCCAGTATGAATCAAAGAGATTATCTCTTGTCCTAGTCCTCAGCTACGCAGGAAAAAAACTATTTATCTAGTAGAGGAAAATCACAATTTGTCAGGATCGGTTTTTGTTTGGATTTTCCACGGATGTTCTGTAATGTTGGGGGGGGGGGGATGAAGAAGATAATGTGACTAAAAATTCAAGAGAATTATAAATCTGGCATTTAAAAGAACAATTGTTGGGGAAATTAAAAACACACGCTGCTGCTGAAGCCACACCATGGTCTCCTGTTTGCCACATTGGATTGACAGGTGTGAAATTGCAGCCAAAAATGAAAGAAATTCTACTTACAGTGAGTAAAAGGTAAAACGGGTGCTCCAGACCAAGGTGGAAGCTAAGAATGCAAGGCAATGTGTTTAAGTTCCACCTGGGCCTCTTAGTGGGCAGCCCCCAAGGACACTTTGTTTTTAAAAAGAGCAGTTTAAAAGGCAAGGAACTGGACCTTTCTTAAGCCATGTAAGATCATGTATTAGCCTAAAGGATATTAGATATCTCAACTCTCAAGGCATGATATAATGATTATTTTGAAGAAACAAATGCAAGTATCGTTCCTCAGTGGAAAGGTTGCTCTTTCTCTTGGTTCTTCTAAAAACAAGGGTTTCTAGAGTGGTAATTATGCCAATGGATAAAATAATAACTTGTATTAGAGTGTAGTTTAGCATAGGGGTTGAGAAGACCCTGGTTGGAATCCTAGTTTCACAACTTGCCAACTGCGTGCACATTTTATAGCCTCTCCAAGCTTCTGTTTCCTCGTCTGTGCACTGAGAATATGAGTAAGAGCAAAAAACTTTTCAGCTCTTAGTAAGCCCTGCATACTCTAAAGTATTTTTCTATGCATTCTCATTTCCTCCCAACTTACAGATGAGGATGTTGAGATATTTATATTTTGTCTGAAGTCATTTATTAAGCAAGCGATGAAGCTGGGGTTTGAACTCATTTAATCGATTCCAAAGTGTATGTTCTTAAACATTAATGCTTCCTCCCTCCTATCTCTACCCTAGGGAGAGGAATAAATGAAGTAACATATTTAAAATGGTTAGTGATTGGCATGGTGTAAGAACTCAATGAATAGAAAGAAGCTCTTCCTGGGTGGATTTGAAATGCATTTGCATGGAGAGGAGGCTACACTTTTGCTTGGTTAGAAATATGCCTCTTGAGTAAAAACTGACCCCACCCTACCCAGGATCTTAAAACAGCTATGCTTATGTTCTTTCAGTTGGGGCTTATTAAAAGTTACACACACACATACACACACACACACTCCCTACTATACATTGTATGACAACTACCATGTTGAAATCAGTATTATGACAACACTGCTCTATGAAAGCAAAGGATACCACCCAAAGAGCCTTTTCTAAATAGACCCTTTGGTAGCAGCACTGTTTTTACAGTGTGGCAGAGGGTTGATGTTTCCTAGACCTGCAGAGAATGAGGAGGGCAGATAATCTACTAGGTACCACTTTACATCTTTAAGTTACTTTTGTCACTTTTAGTCCACTTGAATATTATGCTAGTCTTTCCCATACTAAATCCACTGATTTTCTAGTCTAAGCCCCCTCCTCCAAATGAATGTGAAAATAAGAGAGTGAAGGAAGAAAATCTGTCACCTGACTTGAGTGTATTTAGTACTATTGTGTTCAGAAGATTATGTTTCTAGTTCGTCAGTTCCTGTCATGTCCTCCAAAATCTACAGGTGCTTCTTGGTTGGTTGGTTGGATCTAGATACTTACACATTTGCATTTTCTAAAATTCCAAACTTTGTTCTTAATTTATCTTGTTTAAATCATGTCATTTATTTATTTAAAACTGTGCTGAATTTATTGTTGTAGCCTCTCATGCCTAGCAGTTACTTTAGTAGTATCTAAAACTGGAGAAAATTCATTTCCCTTTAAGCAGTAAACTAAATTGTCAGATCCTTGTTAAATTTAGCAGCTTTCCTTTCTCCATTTGTTTAATAATAGCTTACCATCAATGTTCAAATTCAAAATACTGTGACAGAACCCAGTATAAATGAAATGAGACTCAGAGAGGATGCTGATCAGAAACCAAATGCTAAAGACAAATAGGGCTAATTCTTTGCCTATAAGTATAGCTATATTTTTAATTTAAAAAAATAGAATGTGTATGGAAAATCAGTGAATTTCCAACTAAGAGGATATTTTCTCTGTTGATTGAAAAGGCTAGAATTTCATAGGTAACTGACCCTGCCTGAGGGTGTGATGCCCACTATGGCCTCTTAAGGTTCTAGTAATGATTATTTGAAAAAGCAGTTTGGGAATGATCTCAAATCCAGAAAAGAAAATGAGCATACTCGTGGACAGCTTACACTTTCATCCACATAAAATTGTGAAATTGGGTTAAAAGAGTAGAGGTTAGATAGTTGCTGTGGATATATTTGTGGAGAATCAAGCCTTTAAATGTGTTTAAATATTCATCTTTTGGGTTCCTTCAATGAGATCCGAATTTTAGAAAGGTGCTAAAAGGGTAACATCTTCAGACTATTTTTAAATTTATTTTTTTTTAAAGACTGTACTTTCTCTATCCAAAACCACTGTTCTGAAAACTGCTAAATTAATTCAGACTTAAAAGAAATGGGGACCCAGATGATAAAAAAATAAAATAAAAAGACCTTTTATATGACAACTCATGATGTTTACATCACATTGATTAATGTTCCCATAATGGAATATTGGTTTTAATGTGCTACTTATTCAGTGCCCTTTGGTTTATGAGATAAACAAAATACTGGTTTTTATTGTTATTGTTTACACTTATTGAATGTCAGCACTGCCTCGGGCACTTTGAGTGAGTAACTGATTATTGTTGGTATTTCTTCGAAAGAATCATTACTTTCTCTCATATATTAAATAACTAAGCTCTCAGACGCAGCCTTTCCAAGTAAGTGTTGCCCCTTCTGTTGTTTTATAATCTATATTTGTTTGAGTTGAATGAAAATGTTCTCAAATGCATTAGTTATTAGTTAGCTCAGGTCTTATAGTTTTGATTTTTGCATGAAACAAAACGTGTTTGGCATTAATATACTATGAGATTGCTTCTGTAATTTGTTAACTATTTTTCATGGTACTTAGGTTAATATCACAGAATCAAGTATTTTAGAACTGAAAAGCACCTTAATTATCATTTAGTTTAACCTTATTGTATGTCAAAGAGGCAGAGGCCCTGAGACACACAGTGACTGGCAAGGTTTCATGTTATTAACAATTGAAATTATAGAGTTGAATTGTAAAATGAGTAAAAATAAACACTATAATGCCACTAGGACAAAGTTCATATGTACTGAGTTTTCTAGATCAGCTTTTAAATAATTCAGTATGATTTGGTTTGGTTTGGTTTTGTGGGTTTTTGT